CCATTAGGCTATTGTCGCTTGAACTAGCTAGTGGCTAGTGGTGACAATGAATGATGACAACGCATCTGAGTTTGATTCTTAATCGCGGATAAATGTAGATGTCTATGAGCCACAGCATCCATTTACCATCAGGTGGGCGTGTCGTTTGTCACCCTTATTCTATAAAAAAGGAATAAGTTATCACCTAGACAATCTCAACTCAATAATGCTATTAGTCTCCTTTTACGATACGCTAGGGAAAAAAACACAGTTGGCGTATTTTACGTACCACGTACGTTTACGTACAAACAATAGACATTATTTATATTTAAACAAAAACTGTCTTTTATTACGCTCAGGGGGTTATTACGTGTTATTAAGACATAAATAACCATTTTTAAAATTATTGTCCGACTGCTTGTCTGTCGGGCTCTCAGTGTCCGGGGTACTCATCTTCGGAATAGCTGAACCGACTGCGATAAAACTTTACGATTATACTTAGAGAGAGTATGCCAGGAGTGTTCTAGGATATATTTTATACGAAAAACTTAGACGGTCACTTACGTAGACGGACACTTAGTAGAAGCCGGGGCTGGTGGCTAGTTTTTAATGAACAATCGCCAACGCTCGCCAAGGTTCTTTCAGTTTTCAATATCGTAGATAGAGCATAACAATTTTTCTTGTTTTTTACACAATAAAACAAGCCCACAGTCGGTTACAACTCTGTTTTACCAGTCATCCCAGTTTATATTGTAGTTTTTTACAATATACAGTTAAAAATAATTAATTAAACAAAAACTCAAACCTAAAGACAAATATTTTTTACAAATATTTTCACTTTTCTACAGTTTTCCTTACGGTCATACGGTACTGCCTACAGTATAGTCCACCTGTTGGTAAGTGAATGCAAATGTTACGCGTTTACTACTACCACTATGATGTAAGTCGTTATTACCAGTAAAAAGTGTCTAGGTTCTCTATAGCAGGCTGCTATTTCACTCTGGTATTCTCTGAGAGTGAGACTGTCCTGTTGAGCCGACCAATTTGTGCCTCAACTGTACATAATATAGCTGCGCCGTGGCTCGAATAGAACAACTTGCTTTAGAAACTATGCACTGATGATGAGGCGTTCGTAGTAGGTACATGCCAAGCATAAGAATGTATTGGAGTTACGTACGTAAAAAAAAAGTTAAAGTTATAGCCTATATACGTTCCAATCCTGGGCAAAGACTTCCTCCCATTTCTGAGAGGGCTTTAGGGCAAGGAAGTGTACAACGCGCTGCTATATATACTAAATACAATAAGTAATAAAGCATGTCTAAGTAAATAAGGAGCAGCGCGTTGTACACTTCCTTGCCCTAAAGCCCTCTCAGAAATGGGAGGAAGTCTTTGCCCAGGATTGGAACGTATATAGGCTATAACTTTAACTTTTTTTTTTACGTACGTAACTCCAATACATTCTTATGCTTGGCATGTACCTACTACGAACGCCTCATCCTCAGTGCATAGTTTCTAAAGCAAGTTGTTCTATTCGAGCCACGGCGCAGCTATATTATGTACAGTTGAGGCACAAATTGGTCGGCTCAACAGGACAGTCTCACTCTCAGAGAATACCAGAGTGAAATAGCAGCCTGCTATAGAGAACCTAGACACTTTTTACTGGTAATAACGACTTACATCATAGTGGTAGTAGTAAACGCGTAACATTTGCATTCACTTACCAACAGGTGGACTATACTGTAGGCAGTACCGTATGACCGTAAGGAAAACTGTAGAAAAGTGAAAATATTTGTAAAAAATATTTGTCTTTAGGTTTGAGTTTTTGTTTAATTAATTATTTTTAACTGTATATTGTAAAAAACTACAATATAAACTGGGATGACTGGTGAAACAGAGTTGTAACCGACTGTGGGCTTGTTTTATTGTGTAAAAAACAAGAAAAATTGTTATGCTCTATCTACGATATTGAAAACTGAAAGAACCTTGGCGAGCGTTGGCGATTGTTCATTAAAAAACTAGCCACCAGCCCCGACTTCTACTAAGTGTCCGTCTACGTAAGTGACCGTCTAAGTTTTTCGTATAAAATATATCCTAGAACACTCCTGGCATACTCTCTCTAAGTATAATCGTAAAGTTTTATCGCAGTCAGTTCAGCTATTCCGAAGATGAGTACCCCGGACACTGAGAGCCCGACAGACAAGCAGTCGGACAATAATTTTAAAAATGGTTATTTATGTCTTAATAACACGTAATAACCCCCTGAGCGTAATAAAAGACAGTTTTTGTTTAAATATAAATAATGTCTATTGTTTGTACGTAAACGTACGTGGTACGTAAAATACGCCAACTGTGTTTTTTCCCTAGCGTATCGTAAAAGGCGACTAATAGCATTATTGAGTTGAGATTGTCTAGGTGATAACTTATTCCCTTTTTTATAGAATAAGGGTGACAAACGACACGCCCACCTGATGGTAAATGGATGCTGTGGCTCATAGACATCTACATTTATCCGCGATTAAGAATCAAACTCAGATGCGTTGTCATCATTCATTGTCACCACTAGCCACTAGCTAGTTCAAGCGACAATAGCCTAATGGCAGGGCGCGGACCGCGAACTCAAAAAGTTCGTGGGTTCGAATCCGCCATTCGACTACTGGCGTGAACCACTCGTAACACAAGCAATTTAAGCTTACCACGAGTGGTTAAGGGGAATAGTACTAATGTTTATAGCATTATTAATATTCTTTAAAAAAAAAAGAATTGGTTGTCTCCACTGTAGACTAGATAGAATGCCTCGTTTCCAATAAAAAAAGTCGCCACATCTCTACACTATCCTTATTCATGCTACAAACATACTTTATACGTGATAGAGCCATGCTACAGTTATATTAGTATTATAGTCGTAGGACGAATTGGTCGGCTCGACCGGGGAAGGACCAGGCTCTCACAGAATTGAATATAAAATTTAAATCAGATACGTGTAATCACTCTGGGAGCTTGTAGCAAACTAAACGCGCGGCCAACGTGTGGACGCGGCGACCAAACTCTGCCAACAATCCTTTGATCTTTTGTAAAAAACCGACACCACACGGATCTCGCGCCAACTTGTGGGCCATCGTCCCGCTACATACCAATGAAGCCCAAACACCCTGTCTACACTTTGGCCAATGCTATTGGCCAATACATTCGCCACTGTGTTGGCCAACGTGTAGAGGCGCCGTTAGGTGGCAACCGAACCTCCAACGGAGATTCTTAGCAAAGTCCCGCCGATACCATGGTCGCCACCGTAGCCAGGAATAGTGGGGCCGCCGGGGACTGGAGGACATCTCTTCGTAACTTTCATCATGCTCATATATTGCCATAGTTGCCACGCTAAGCGAGCGGATTGGCAACCGCAGTTTTTTTGTTGTACAGTTGCTTTTATCAGAAAGATGGTGCTGCCCATCTCCTGCCTGTTTTCCTGTATCAACTTTTACGACACCCACGGGAAGATATGGGGTACTGGATATTATTATTCCCCACTAAACGGAAAAATAGTAATTGCAGTTATTATATACATATTACGTAACTCTAGCCGCTTTTATAGTTACACAGTACGCGAGCAACCCAGGTTCGATCCCCGACCGCATCAATGAAATTGGTAATTGCAATTTTATATGCAGATATACCACCAGCTCTACGTAAAGGAAAACATCGTAAGGAAACCTGCATTCTATACAACATATTTAGTATATATATATATATATATATATATATATTTATATATATATACACATAAATATATATATATCTATATATACATATACAATAGGTACGTATCAATATTATCTATGTTAGAACAAATATGAAATATGTACGAAAAAAAGAGATATGTTAGTTCAAACTTGCAACGATTTAATCATATACTTCCGGACTTGATTTTTTTTTAAAACGAATTTGTTGGGAGCTTTTTTATATAATTCATTGTTGATTTTATGTTATTTGTGTTGGTAGGTACAGTTTAAGATCTCGTCCTGTATCTTGTTACATATTATATAATTATTTTACTTCATCATTTAATATATAAGTAAGTAATTTATCGACCAAATTGGCGATATTTTGAAAATGGGCCACGTTAGAAGTACCCTTAACCGACGAGCATGTATGCGTAGATATATGGATGTCAAAGGAGGCGAAAGAGGTATGTCAGGATCGTGCCAAATGTAAGTCCGTAGTCTCTGCCTACCCCTCTGGGTGACAGGCGTGAGTGTTTATGTATTATGTACGTAATTACGTATGGTTTTTCATAAGGTCAAGTATACGCGTTGTTTTTGTGGACGTACACGGAAACTGGTTTCGAAAGTGAAGACAAAAGCATTTCAGGGGGCCAATAGAAAACCAGCGTCAGGTTTCCAATCTAACACCACACTGAGTTGGTTCGTAGTTTTGGCAATATCGTGAGATACTAGTTTTAAGAATATGCTTTACATATTATTTTTTTCGTTATATTTATTATCTTTGTTTCTTCAATTTTTGGCTGTTTATTCGTCCTTGAAATTGTATTTTATTTTCACTTCGTTTCTGTGTCTTGGTGACTTATGTGTGTCAAAATAAATATTTTTCTTTCTCTTCCTTTCCTTTGCCGTGGACTTTGCTACTCTCTAAAAGAGACCAAAATTATGCTGGATCTTTCGCAATTGTCTCTAGATATTCCATAAGGCTCTTAAAACGAGGGAACATTACCGAAATTTGTAGTGTAGTAAATCAGCATTTATGCAATTGACAATTTCATTGGTGCTGGTCGGGATCGAACTCAAGTTGATTGCAACGGGTGTACGGCAAGCACTTAGCTCCTGACGTGCCACGGTATTTTTATATTAAATATAAGAAAAAGAATTCGCAAATTACTGAGAGATTTCTTGATAACCTTGATTAAATCCATTACAAACATAAATATCAAACTTCCTGAAGTTACATTATCACTGGGTAAGCCTTTATATAAATAGGCCTCAGTATATCGACACTCATCAGTAGCATTTACAATGTTCAAACTTGTGGTATTGTCAGTTCTCTTCGCCGCGGCCATTGCCGAGCCTGGAGTATTTTACACTCCCACCACATTCACGCCAGTCGCGGCACCGGCAGCCACAACCTACGTGCAACAAGCAGCACAGTATAGCAGCTACCTACCAGCAGCTCAGTATAGCAACTACTTACCAGCACCGTCCGTCTACTCTTCTCTACCTAACGTTCACTACATCAAGAAACGATCGGCTCCATTTTACAACACATATGCCGCACCTTACACCTACATCACCGGTGCTCCTCTAACAGCCCCATACGCATCTACGTACATTACGTCTGCTCCAATCGCTGCGACTCTCCCTGTGCTGTCCACATATTCCTCACCAGTGCACTACATCAAAAAACGATCGGTTCGTGCTTTCCTGCCTGCACCTACATCGTACATCGCCCCAGCTCCAATTACGACAACTTACATAGAGTCCGCTCCTCTTTCAGCAACTTACTCCTCCGCTATACTTCCAAACGCAGCATTCCTGTCGTCATACGGTACATTACCTTATATTAAAAAGTAACCAATTCTTGTTCTTACCAGATAGTCACAGCAACAGCGTTTTATAAATTCAAGAGGTTTCGCCGAATATTCAACGCAGTATTCGAGGCGAACGTGATAGCTAACACCAATATGATTTGTTGCTTTAATTTTCTCCAACATATTCAATAATAAAACAATTTTAACAGAATGTGTTTTTGTTTTTTATTATACAAGTCACACTAACAAAGGCTTCTAGGCGGTGGTATTCCATCTCTACCTGCGAGACCATGTAGGTAGGTACGAACGAGCATGGAGCAGCAGTGCGTGCACTGCAGTGTCCGGTCTGAAGGGTATAGACAGCCAGTATTATAGTATTGTGAGGTATTCCATCTTATTCCACGTTGCAGTAACCACTGCAAACATCAATTTGAAAAAAAAAGATTTAAGAAAGAGAGAAAGAAAAATTAACAATTTTTCTCAGTGGCGGTAAAAAATATCCACTACCCCATATCTTCCCGTGGGTGTCGTAAAAGTTGATACAGGAAAACAGGTAGGAGATGGGCAGCAGTATCTTTCGGATAAAAGCAACTGTACAAAAAAAATTGCGGTTGCCAATCCGCTCGCTTAGCGTGGCAACTATGACAATATACCCATGATGTGAGTTACGAAGAGATGGCCCCCAGTATCCAGCGGCCTCACAATTCCTGGTCGGTAGTGACAATGGTAACGGCGGGGCAGGGCGTGCTAAGAATCTCGCTTAAAATCCCGAAAGCATTCAGCTCGAGTTACAAAACCATTTTCATTGCCTAGAAGATTGCAATGCAGTAGACGATATGAACGATAAGCTCGTGGAAACTGTCCGTGCGGTCGGAGCTAAGTTCTGCAAGAGCCGCCGCAGAAGAACACAAAAACTCTCCGATCACACTATTAATCTCATGGCTGTTAGACAGAAAATGAAGCCGCATTCTCAACAGATTTGACAGCACACAAGCAACTCAACGGACAGATCTCCAAATGCATGCGGCGGGACTTACGCAACTTTAATACTGCTCGTATTGAAGAAGCGATTGAGCGAAATAACCAAGGATCCAAAGCCTTTGCTAGAGCTATCTGTCTGCCAGGTAAAGCTAACTGTCAAAACTGAAGACCGAGTGTGGCAGCTTCGTTTCCGGGACACCTGAGATATTGAGTAAGATTGAGAGGTTCTATGGGCAGCTGTACACATCATCGTTGGAGCCACACGCAAGTGTAAGTAACGATCCAAGAGCAACTCGTATCCGACACAATCCCGATGATATCAAATACGTCAGTATGATTGAGATGAAAATGGCTCTTTTGTACCAAAAACGGGGGTACGGGGAACCGGTACTTAAAAAATCTATTGCGTTCAGAAGTTGACTATTCATCATTCATTCATTTATTAAGCTTTTTAAAAGTCTCATAGTTGATACCCTTAGTTGATGGTAGCATACTTATAAAAAAGAATAATTGCAGTTACTTTAGAATTATTGTACTACGTGATTATAGCCAAAGTAGCTTAGGTGCTAAGTGTTCGCTTTTTACAGAACGCGTGCAACCCGGGTTCGATCACCGTCGGCACCAATGACATTTTTTTTTATATTTATAAACGAGCACACAGTCCACATGATTGTAAGTGGTTGCTGTGGCCCATAGACATCTACCTTAATCCTCGATTACGAATCAAAGTGCAAATGAATTGTCACCCGTGAGGACTAAGATGGTATGCGTCATTTTCTTTAAAAAAGGTCGCCTTTTCTCTACACTCACCACACGAGACACAGCAGCATTAAGCTACTATTTTACGCTGGTATTCTGTGAGACTATGGTCCTTCCCCGGTCGAGCCAACCCATTCGTGCTACAACTATACTACCAATATAACTGCAGCATGGCTCTACAACTTAGAAAAGTTGTTAACAGCAATTTTATATGATTTACATGATCGATTTACGACGATCTCAGCGTGAAGGAAAATATCGTAAGGAAATCTGCATATCTGAAGCCGCATTGAAGCAGCGCGGTGCATACTTTCTTGCCCTAAATCTCCCACAGACATGGGAGGAGGCCTATGACCAAGAGTGGGATGGTTGGCTGTGATTTCAACGTGTTTTTCTTTTATAATGCTTGGCATGTACCAACAACGAATACCTCGTTCTCAGGGCACAAAGTTTATAAAGCAAGTTGTTCTATTGGATCCACGGTGCAGCTGTATTATGTATCGTAGCAGCACAAATTGGTCGGCTCGACAGTGGGCAGTCTCACTCTCACAGAATACCAGCGTGAAATAGTAGCCTGCTCTAGAGAACCGGAGACACTTTTAACTGGTAATGACGACTTATATCTTCGTCGTAATAATAATAATAATAATAATGTCCTCCAGACCGATAATGTCCTCCAGACCGAACTTCGGCCATGGCAGCCTGCCTCAACGGAGGCTAGCCATCGGCGCAGGACGGGATTATAGTGCCCAAGTGTATGCGCAAGTACAGGTGCACTCTCTATTCCCTCACTATCGTAATCCGATGGGATGGTAAACCCAACACGACCGGGAGAGAGATCAGTCGCAGGACCAACGGCTTTACGTGCTTTCCGAGGCACGGGGGTGAGATACCGCCAACTTCCTGACTCCGGGCAGCTACTACTACTATACAGCTACTGAGAATTCCTTAATGGAAAAACTCAATAATTGATTTTTTGGCCCGACCCGGGATTCGAACCCCTATCTTAGTCGTAGTAGGAGACGCATAGTATCTGTATTTCGATTCTTAACCATAGGTCATAGCATCCACTTACCAGCAAGTGGCCTGTGTTGTGGGCAGTTACTTATGACTGAAAGAAAAATTGTGGAAAAATGTTAATGTTTGTAAAATAACTTAAAGCGCTTTGTTTAATTAATATATTTGGTTGGATATTAAATTAAAATGAGCTGGTGGGATATATAAATTTTTAAAGTCTTTTTTGAAAATTAAAATGACTTGAAAAAACTATAAATCTACAGGTAAAATTCAGGGATAGCGGCACTAACTGTTTGCGTGTTTATCTGCTCTAAAATCTGCATTTTAATTGCGAAAAAACTGTTCAATCTTTTATTAAAATATAACATAAACATATCTCGAAAAGATTGAATTCAACCTTTTCGAGATACGTTACTTTACATTTCAATACAATATTGAATGAATATTCATTAAAGAAAAGAAAACAATAAAAAAAACTTTGCTTAGTATCACGACAAGTGAACTTTATATTTTTTTGTTATTGTTTTAGCCGAGAACTTCGCATTGCTTTATAATTATCGAAACGAGATATTATAAATATATTGAGTGCAGTAGATACTATTCGGCTTTTAATTGTTCTTAATGAAAATCTATGCAACATAGTTTTATCAATGCGAGACCTCATATCATCTGTGTATGGTAACGCAACGCAAACACCAACTTGCGAAAATTCCTGGCTTTGCGACAGAGCTATTTTGACGCCACGAAACAACCAAGCAGCAAAAATAAACGCTGAAATTTTGAGCTATGTTCCGGGGGATTATGTTGAGTATATCTCCATTAACAGAGTCATGGAAGAAGGAGAATCTACAAGCTACCCGGTAGAATTTTTAGAATCACTTAATGCTCCTGGACTACCAGCACATAAAATAAAATTAAAAGTAGGCGTACTCATAATCCTTCTTTGAATTTTAAGCCCCCCAAAACTTTGCAATGGCAGGTTAAAAGTAACCAATTTACAACGAAATCTGATAGAAGCAGAGATTTTAACAGGGTAAAAGTGTTTTCATACCTCGGATTCCTCTCACTCCAAACAATTTTCCATTTAGTTTTAAACGAGTCCAGTTTCCATTCAGCCTATGTTTTGCGATGACAATTAATAAAGCCCAAGGTCAGGCGCTGAAAGTTGTGGGTGTAGATCTAAGTATCAGCTGTTTCTCGCACGGTCAGTTGTATGTGGCTTACTATCACGGGTTAGCAATCCTAGGAGCCTGTATGCTTTCATCCCCGATGGCCATACGTGAAATATCGTATACAGAGAAGCATTACTGTAAAGTAAACGCTGAAAGTTATGGGTGTAGATCTAAGTATCAGCAGTTTCTCGCACGGTCAGTTGTATTTGGCTCTGTCACGGGTTAGCAATCCTAGGAGCCTGTATGCTTTCATCCCCGATGGCCATACGTCAAATATCGTATACACAAGAAGCATTACTGTAAAGTAAACGCTGAAGGTTGCGGGTGTAGATTTAAGTATCAGCTGTTTCTCGCACGATCAGTTGTATGTGGCTCTGTCACGGGTTAGCAATCCTAGGAGCCTGTATGCTTTCATCCCCGATGGCCATACGTCAAATATCGTATACACAAGAAGCATTACTGTAAAGTAAACGCTGAACGTTGCGGGTGTAGATCTAAGTATCAGCTGTTTCTCGCACGGTCAGTTGTATGTGGCTCTGTCACGGGTTAGCAATCCTAGGAGCCTGTATGCTTTCATCCCCGATGGCCATACGTCAAATATCGTATACATAAGAAGCATTACTGTAAAGTAAACGCTGAAAGTTGTGGGTGTAGATCTAAGTATTAGCTGTTTCTCGCACGGTCAGTTGTATGTGGCTCTGTCACGGGTTAGCAATCCTAGGAGCCTGTATGCTTTCATCCCCGATGGCCATACGTCAAATATCGTATATACAAGAAGCATTACTGTAAAATAAACGCTGAAAGTTATGGGTGTAGATCTAAGTATCAGCTGTTTCTCGCACGGTCAGTTGTATGTGGCTCTGTCACGGGTTAGCAATCCTAGGAGCCCGTATGCTTTCATCCCCTATGGCCATACGTCAAATATCGTATACACAAGAAGCATTACTGTAAAGTAAACGCTGAAAGTTGTGGGTGTAGATCTAAGTATCAGCTGTTTCTCGCACGGTCAGTTGTATGTGGCTCTGTCACGGGTTAGCAATCCTAGGAGCCCGTATGCTTTCATCCCCGATGGCCATACGTCAAATATCGTATACACAAGAAGCATTACTGTAAA